AAGCCACTGCGCCCAGCATGACTGGACTTTCACATGTGACTGTGGAGGTAGGAGACCCAAACCCCAAGGGCTCCAGGTATTTATGTCAACAGTGAACTCCTTTTCTGCATTCTTGCTGCTGAGCCTCTATTATTCTTTGCTTGGAGTGCCTCATTCCCACCTTCTCTTCTTCAAGGCCCAATTCATGGCCACCTCCCACAAAAAGCCAACCCAGGTAGGTTTCCCAATTCCATGAGGACGGGGTGTGTGTGTCTGGGTTTGTTCTAGTGACCCAGCACAGCCAGCTTTACCTTACAGTTGTTTGTTCACATGCCTGATTCTTGTCATCTAAAGGCTTCCTGAGAACAGAAATCACCTGGCGTTCAGATCTGCTATGCCCAGGCGTGCCTAGCACTCCACACTCACCCATTAGACTCGACGGACAAGGTGCCAGCTACATTTTCGAAGCCAGTGATGTCTCACAGCCCAGGAGAGCTTGTCAGTGAAACTTCTCAAAACACATTGCAATTCTCTCCTTCACCTGGTATATTCTGACTCTTACTGTGTCACTTTTTATGTATCCTCCCTCAACATGGAGAGAACATAGTGGAGAATCACAAGACCATTTGGGGCTTAACTCTGTCCACATAGCCTGGGGGTGCCTGAGAGCAGTTGGCTACTACCTCCCATTTGTATCTCCTTTTTTGTTTTTAACTGGCTGTAATAGAGGCCAAGCGTTTAAGAAGTCTTTACCTTAGGTAAGTTTTGGTCGTTTCGTGTTTTTCTAAAAAAGGAAAAAACCTTAGAGCTGCTTTAAAGGCGAGTTTTTCGCGACTGGGGAGTTGCCCAACTGGAGCGTGTACTCCGTCCTGGGGTCCACCTCCCAGAAGGGGCACCCCCACCAGCCCCCGCCTCCCTCCCTACCGTGCTGATTCCCGCGCCTGTGTAAACGACCAAGTATTTGGCGTTCCGGATGGCGCTGGCCAGCTCCCGGACTTTCCCCCGCAGCTCCTCCGGGTCGTCGCACACCTGTCGAGACGCCAGGGTGGTCACCGCCCCGGGTCGCTCCACCCTGGGCCGCCCGTCGCCCCGGCTGCTCCCGAAACCCGAGGCGCCCGCGGCCGCCGCGCGCTGAACTCGCCTCCTCCTGCCGCCGCTTTAAGCCCTCGCGCCGCCGGCTCCGGCCCTGCAACTCCGTCACCAGGTCCCCGCTCTCCGCCAGCAGCCGGACCTCCTCGGCGCTGCGCTCCACCGCCGCCTTCCTCAGGATGCGCGACACCTGCGGGCAGGCGGGCGGTGAGCGGCAGCGGGGGCCGGGCATGGCTGGGCCGGGGAGCGGCGGCTGCGTACCTGGCGGAGGCGATCCCGCTGCTGCTCCTCCCGCAGCCTCCGCACCCGCTCCGCGGCTTTGCGCTCGGAGCGGCTCAGACCTCCGGCTGCCATGGCTCCCCGGGAGACCCGCGCTTCCGCTTCCGCCTCGCAGGGCAGGCCGCACCCAGGGCGCATGCGTGAGCCGGGCTCCCACCCTCCCCACCTCTTCCGGCCCCGCCCATCGCGTCACTCCAAAGAAGCACCTGTCAGTCTCTTTAAAAGGTTTATTGATCATATACAAAATAAAGAAAACCTTATATATCACAAACATACACTATGTACAGCAATAAATACCCGGGGGGCCAAGCCCAGTGCTGCCCCTCCTGGACAATAATTTAGCAATAAATACTGCGCAGGGCAGGGGTGGGGCACTAAGGCCACTGCCCTGCGGGAGGTCAGGCACCCGCCCTACACGAAGTGTGAGCTCTCGGGCCTCACCCCGCATCCAAACCCCAGCCCCTCCTCACTTAGATCTTTAATAACCTCCATTCCACCCCAGCAGATCCCGAGGTCCTCTCCCACACACAGCCTACCCTGGCTAGACCTAGGCAGGGCAGGCAGGGACTGATCAACTCTGCTTGGACCCACCTCTCAGCGCCAGGAGAGCAACAGGGCTGGACACGCGGGCAGCCCTTGTCCTGTTGCCCTAAGTTGCCAGGAGAAGGCTTTCTGAACCCACTCCCGTTTGGTTAAAGGCTTCAGGGACTAGCAGATTGAGGGGATGGGAAGAAGGGCAAGGCTGGGACACAGGTTGCTGGAGGGGCTAAAGCCCAACTGGGGTCACCAAGAACAGGGAGGTCTCACAGTCTATAGGGGATACACTCTCACACTGTATCTCAGACTCAAGGGACACTCATGGTATCAAAGCTGCTGCTCCAGGGGCAGGGTGGAAATGTGTGGGACTGGTCTGGCAGGGGCAGCACACGCCCAGGACACAGGCCAGAGGCAGGCCAGGCATGGGTCTCTTAGACACGCCCTGCCTCTGTGTGGCATTGATTATGCACTCCACTCTCCCCACCTGCTCCAAGGCCAGACAGCCAACAGGAAGGCAAAAATATGCCAAAAGAATTATTCAGTGGCTTCTGGGGGGAAAAATCGTTAATGTGTTGGTTCCTTTCACCAAACCACAGCCTAAAAAAGTAACACAAGATCCCAGAGCGGAAAAGGTGTAGCAGGCTGAGGCTCAGACTTTCCAGATGTGGATGGGAGCTTTGGTCAAGTGGCCACTCCAGAGAGGGAGGAAGCAAGGACAACACGGGACCTCACCATTGTCCCAAAGCAGGCTGCAGCTCCTCAGGGATGTGGGCTGGGCACTGACCATTGAGGCTGCTGCTGCTGGTCAGAAGTGTGCACACATATCTGAAACATGCACCAAGAGCTGAAGCCCCAGCAACACCAGCACCACCCAGAGCAGCAGCCAGGCCCTCACTCTCTGGGTGAGAGCTGACCTGTCCCCACTGGGCATTTCTCTGAAATCTGAGTAACCATGTTAGGGTAAGGGAGGAGTTGGGGCAAAGTCAAGGTGGAAGGGAAGACATACATCATGGTTTACTTGGCGGACAAGATTGAGACCCGGCCTTGGCCATAGCCCTCAATTCGCTGTGTCAGAAAACCTGAGGTGAGAAGAGGAGGCCACCACCCTCTTCTCACCCTTTTCTCAGTAGGAAAGCGGGATGAAGATATCAGAAGGACAGCACACTCACATGTGCACATGAACACAGCATCTATGTCAGGAAATCCAGGGGAAGGGGAAGAGGGATGCAGTGGCTCCACAGGGCTGGCCCGACAGGAGACAGGAACACTCCCCTAGACCTTGGGAAATCGCTCCAAATCCAAAGCTCTTGAAAGGAGGTATGGCCTCGACACTCCAGAAGCCTCTTCTGCCAACACATCAAGGACTCCCCCTTCCATTCGGCCTGCGCCCACCCTCACACCCTCCTCTTCTGCACTCCCTTGCCTCCGGGTCTGCAGCCTGGCAGAGGTGCTCAAAATGGATGGCTACCCCCAGCCAGGACAAAAGTGGGGGCCACAAAAGGACAAGGAGGGCCTGTTCCTCCCTGCTCCAAGGCAGATCATGACATTTTCTTCATAGATACTTATGATATGATTCCAACTAATGCCTGGATTCTAGTTAGACAAAACTAGACTGAGAGGAGGAGGATGAAGTCACTAAATGACTAGAGTCAACATTTCCATTTTCAGGCTGGCCCAGGTAGAAACAAGAGTTGTCTCTGAACACCCAGAGCAAAGAGAAGCTCATTAAGACAAGTGTTGATGGTACATCCCTGTTCACATCTCACAGGCACACCAGGCCAAACTCTTGGATGAAAATCCCACTACCCACAGGGTTAAGCCCTGTCAGCCAGTTTTTTTCATCTCACCAGCCCACATTTCTGTGCTTTACAGGGGACTGGGCCCCACAGAGAAGAAACCAGCAACCCTGGTGAAAGGTCAAGGTTCACACGGCCAGACACAGAGCTGTAGCCTCTTGGGGGTGTGTGGGTGCACCCCTTCCCATCATATGCCTACCAGGAGCCTCCTGAGCCCAGCCGAGAAGGGCAGCAGCCTCTGGCGAGGAACTGGGAGCAAGAGGCAGGCTGGGCCCCCAGAGGGAGGCACCCCCAGTGAAGCCAAGCAGCTGATCCCTGGAAGACAGATCCCAAAGGGAGGCAGAAGGAAGGCCTGAAGCCAAGAGCTGCCAGGATGGGCCAGCGGAGAAGAAGGGTAAGACCCGGCCCTGGAGATCGTAGCCCTTGTCTGCACTGGTGGAGACCCCCCACCACTCTGCCTGGAAGCACCCCGCAGCACGGAAACAGTTCAGGGATCAAGCAGGCGGTGGAACCTGTAGCCCACGGTGCGGGCCCCTGGGGTTCCCAGCTGAGGCCCCTTGTGAAGACGCCAGAGGAAGACGGCCAGGGAAAGCGTGGCCACAGTCCTGTGGCCACCCACAGTGACTCCTTGGTCCCTGCACCACCACCACCCAAGGTCAGAGGTGGTGGGTGTGGAAGCAGCGTGGGGGGCCCCAAGGGACCCCCAGTGTTACCTACTGTGCCACAGCATCAGCCCCAGCCCTAGACATAGATGTAGCCAAGGTTCAATGGGGTGAGCATGACAGAGCCCCACATCTCACCTCCTAGGGACCAGGGGCTGGTGGTGGGCACAGACTCCTTGAGCTCTGACGAAGCAGGCGCCCCCTGGCACCCCAGCCCAGGTCCAGCAAGCCAGCAGAAGCAAAAGCACAACGAAACCCAAAAAACAAACACAGGAAAACAGACACAAGAAGTGACACCCACAGGTCAAAGGTCACCAGAAGCACCAGCACTTTACCGCTGCACAAAACCTCACCAGGCACGGACAACACCACGGCACCGGCAAGAGACGGAAGCAGGAAGGGCAGAGGAGTAAGTCACTTTCGGTACAATTGCAAAAGATATCAAAGAGGACGGCCTTCTGGTCGGTTCACCGCTTGGCTTTTTTTTTTTTTTTGTCTTTTTTTAAACTAAGTTTTATAAATAATGTCTGATAACTCTGTGTATATAAAAACTAAACTCCAACAGCCACAAAGAGTTGTCCATAAGTTTACAAGAAAGGGTTTTTTTTTTTTTTTTTTTTTTTTTTTTTCTTTTTTAACTAGCAAAGTTTCTATTATACTTTCTTCCTTTTTCCATTGATATGGTCAAATGGTCTTCTTGCTTGTTTTTTTTTTTTCTAAAAGACAGTTTTATAAATACTCTGCAGCTTTTCTCTTTAACTTTTAAACATATAATTAATAACTTTGTAAAAGGAACTTCTCTCTTTTAAATAAAGGGCTATATAACCACACAAATAGGTCATGTAAACAGTGACACGGGACCCATCGCAGGGCACACGGGACTCACCCTCACGTAAGCGCACAACCAGCGATTTGGTCTTGTTCAGTGCAACGGGTCAGGCTTGAGCGCGCAGCTCCTGGACCCAGCACCACTGCGCCCAGGCTGGCGGTCCCCCCATCAGGGCCCTCAAGGCCATGCCCTCCTCTCAGAACACAGCCCGTCTCTTCATGCTGGGCTGAGCTGAGCTGAGCTGCCCTCCTGGGGCTAAAGAGAGTGAATCCTTCCCAGCCCGGGAGAGCACACGGGAACCCTCACTGCTCAGGGACACGAGAGGCCCAGCGTGCCAGCTCCGTCTCTCTCCCTGCATCTCTCTGAAGTCCATTCCCACCGCACCAACTCTGGGCTCCAAGCCTGCATGGCCTTGGTACAAAAAGGGTTGGGGCGACCCCACGTCACCGCCAAACTGACCAATCCCAACATACAAAACACACGACGACAATGACGAGATCAAAGGGGCTCAGCCTGGTGCCCCTGGGGTACAGGTTGTGCTTTGCAGGGAAGAGAGAAGGGCGGGGAAGAGAGGGAGGAAAGAGAAGGAAACAGAGGGACAGGGCAGCCGAATTCGCCATGTGCCTAGTGGCCCCGCAAAGACCCGCCTGGGCAGATGCGCGTCCCTACGACCGGGCATCCGTCTTGGACTTTACTATTGTGATGACGCTGGTGGCAGCCACCTTGCCTGGGACGAGGGGCCCCAGGCCGGCAGCAAGGGGGCCCCGGGCCGGCGCCACAGGGCTGCGAGCCACCGTCCGGGCGAAGGTCTGCAGCGCCTCATACTTAGAGCGCAGCGCGTCGAGCTCCAGCTTCATGCTGGCGTTCTCCGAGGCCAGCTTCTCCACCTCCTGCTGCAGCTCTGCCTTTTGCTTCTCCAGCTCCTCCTTTTGCGTCACCCGCTTCACACGGCAGCTGGCAGCGTAGCCGCGGTTCTTGAGCGTGCGCCGGCGCTGCTTCAGCTGGACGATCTCCTCCTTGGACAGGCCCCGCAGGTGCTGGTTCAGCTCCCGCACCGACATGGTCACCAGCTCCTCATCAGTCAGGCTGGTGCCATTCTCACCTGGCTCCCGCTTCACCTGGGGCACAGCACACAGGGTCACAGGCCAAGCAGGCATGCCCACGGCGCCACCCCAGCCTGAAGGTTCCCTGTCCCTCCCCACTCACCTTCAAGGCCTTGTTTCCTTTATTGGGGGTCGTCATAACCCGGGGGCACAGCGAGCAGGCGCTCTCTGCAAGACACAGAGCAGAGGTCAGTACCCTGGAGACCAGCCTCACCCCCCACCCCAGTTCACAGAGCCCCTGCCGCACAGCCCGCCCCAGCCTCTGCCCGGGTGCCCAGGCCCAATACCTGATCAGAGGCAGCCCTTGGCCTCTCCCAGGCTGGGCTGAGCTGCTTCCTGTCCACCCTGCCCCTAGAGAACCAGGTGGGAGGTCAGGAAGGTCTAATGGGAGAAGGGGAACTGAAGGCTGTTAAGAGAGGCAGACGCAAGACAAGGGGCGCGGGAGAGATTAGAAGGAATAAGACTCGGGAGGGGCAGGCCTAGAAGGAAGCCGGGAGCTTTAAAAATAACCCCAGCACTGCCCCAGAGCACGGCTGTTCCTGGCGAGTCACGCTGACTCAGCACATTGCCTCCCTGCTCCCTCACCGCGCCCGCACTCCCTGGGCCCGCCAGCCAACAGCGCCCCAGGAGAGCTGCAGCTGAGCTGCTGGGGGCCAGAAAGGCCAGCCTGGCCAATAGCAGGTGAGGGCCAGCCAGGGACCCTGTGCATGAATCCTCCGGGGTCCTACCTCCTTCAGCCACCTCCCCTGAGCCAGCCTGGGACAAAGCCCCCTGCTCCCTGGGTGCACAGGGGCCCCACTGGGGACTGGGCCAGAGAGGAGGCTGTAGGGAGCCCCGATTCTCCCAGAGTCTCCTAACTTTGGGTAGCTGGGGGTGGGCCGTCCAGCTAGCTCTGGTCTGTTGGCCAGACTGGCCAGGGAGTTCCCCCACCTTCCAGGTGGCAAGCCATCAACTGGGAGGAACTTGGCCCGAGGCCCCTCTGGCCCTCTCCGCCTGCCTCCTCCACTGATGGAGTAACCATCCTGTGGCTTTGGGTTGCAGGAAGCAGCCCCTGCCCCACCCCATCCAGGGTGTTTCACAAGTTCTCCCACAGTGAGCCACCCCGGGGCCTGCCCAACTGGAGGCTGGTGGAGTCAGCCCCTCAGGCAGCCTGCTCTCTGGCCCCCTGCCCCGGGTCAGTGCCCACAGAGCCAGGGAACAAAAACTAAAGAACCAACTCATCCACTTGGGGTCCTCCCAGCACGCAGCTCACTTTCTTGCCAAGGACATTTCTGTGCACCTCATCCCAGAAACCCATCTGGGATTCCTGGCTCAGCCCAGCTCCCACCATACCCTTGGGCATGGACCCTCCAGCCCCACGCTCTATCCCCCACTTTCCAGGTTTGATGCAGACAGATGGGAGTCTCCTCCAGAGGAGCCAGGAGCACTTCAGGAAATTATGGGCTGGGGGACTTCTCTCACCAGTTGCTGAAGTGTGGCCAGGCGAAAGCACACGTCCTCACCAGGGTGGAGACCCCACCTCACCCAGCCTTGGATCAGGAGGTGAGGCTGAACCCACACAGCAGGAAGGGGAGGTCAGAGACCCCTCCCCACAGCCAAGCCAACTCAGAGGCAAGGTGCCAAGGCTCCAGCCACTGGATTCTTCCAGATAAAGGACGGGGAAGACCTGCGCTGGAGGTCAGAAGGCCCACAGGAGCTCTTTCCTACATAACCGGCACCACACTGCCCCAGGAGACAGGGCCTCAGCCGAGCACGGCAGGGGCCCCCCAGCCTTGAGTGCAAGTCAGAGTGTAGAGACACTGTCCTGGCACCAGCTTCTCCCACCCCCATCACCCCCACCCCTGCTGCTAAGCACAATGACAGCGGTGACTTCCTGAAGAGATCACACGGAAAACTGCCTCCTCGACAGATTTTGCCCTCTGCAGAAGGCCTGAACTCAGCACGAGTGCAGCCAATCACCTCTTAATCAAAGGTGTGCTCGGGTGGGGGAGGGGCAGGCCTGAGCACAGCCAGTGTTTCCAGGCTCCTGACCTAGCCTCTGGCAAGCTGGGACACACGCTGAGCAGGGACAGCCTCTGGAGCTGGGCTGAGAGGGACGGAGCAGATGAAGGACTAAGGAGAAGCTGGCCCCAACCTAACCCTCCTCCACCCTGAAGGCTGGCCAGACATCCTCTGCTGATCAGGCATCCTCTGCTCCCCCAAAGGCTGAGCCCACCTCACACAGGAGGCACAGGTGATCACGACTCCCCAACCCACCAAGGTACCTGGGCCACCCATTTCACACTGAGAGCCAGGAAAGGGAAGGAGGTTTGGGAGCTCCATCTCCCTTTGGCTAAGTGGAACTCCTGTGCCTGAACAAAGACAGCCCCACTAGTCTGCAAAGCCCAGTGGCCGAAACTCCCCGGAAGTTATGGCCTCTGCTGTCATCCCACCCTTGGATCCACCTGCTGCAGAAGCGCTCAGCTCCTCAAAGTCACTCTTTGAACAGAATCTAAAACTTAGTTTCCACTGATGCATAAGTGACTGAGAATATCACAAATGCCCCTCCAGGGCCTTGCATTTTCCCAGGGCGTAAAACTCCAGACCAAAGGTCAGCGGAAGCATCGAAACATCTGGAATCTATAAGCCCCAGGGCTCAATGAGAGTAGACATGTACTCTGTCTGGGCATTCCTGAGGAAAAACCACAAAGTGGCCTAACGCAGCCATGAACCCCTGGGCAAAGGAAGGCTACCTTCACGAATCTCCACATACCCAAGGAGAGGTGGCTCAGGCCACATGACTCCCAGGCTGCCACTTCCCAAACATCCTGGCACACATCCCCTGGGCCACCAGGCCAGACACCCAGCAGGGCCATTCTCTTTGCTAACTTCACACAACACTGAGGCCTGACTTCAGGTAGGGACAACTCTGGGGTGACTGGGTGCTGCGTTCTGCCACCCTATGCCTTCCACACCAGCCCAAGGCTAGGCACCCCTAAGCTCCCACCACCCAGTCTCAACCCAGACTCCAAGGCCAACTGGGGAGAGAGGCAGGGCTGCTTCCTCCCCCTTGCAATTTCCTGGTAGACCTGCCCTGCTTCCTCCTTGCCCTGCCCTGCCCACTGTCACCCAGGGCTTGGTACACACACCCCTCTTTCTCCCAGGGCCTGGATCTCTGGCCAGGGGCTGTCCAGACAGGCCAGTCCCAGGGAAAGCCGACTTCCCCTTTGGCTAGCACAGCCCACCGAAGCTCCTCCCCTCCCTCACTCAGGGAACTATTTCCCAGTTTGGGAAACTGCTCCGGACGTGGGACCAGGACCAGCTGCCGGAGAAGAGCCGCCTGGGAACCGGTGGATGGCCCGGGGCTTCACCTTCGATCCCGGGAGAACACCTGCAATAAGCCACCCCCACTTCCTCTTCAAGCACTCCTGCCTTCGAAAGGATCGCTCGGCCCTCACTTAAACAGGCACCCCAAGGCGCGGGGCCCGGCCCCCTCCCACATCGCCACGGCTCCCTCCCACCTCCCGCTGGCGGCCTTTCAGTCCCTGAGGCCCCTCGCTCCGATCCCCTCCGGTATCAGCTTGAGCACCGAGTGACCTCATGCTGATGACTCAGCAAGTCTCCCTCTGGGCTCTGGCACGCGAGTGACGGTGACGGAGCCCGAGCCCGGGCCCGAGCCCGAGCCGGCGATGCAGGGTCTTCCCCGCCGCCCCCCACCACAGCCGCTCCCCTCCCGGGCCGCCGCAGACCCCCGCGCCCGGGGAGCGCAGACGCGGCCACCTGATGAATCAGCAGCTACAGACCGGCCGCCGGGCCCTGACGCGGACCCCCGGGCGCCTCGCTCGACCCCACCCTTTCCTCCCAGCGCCTGGCGCCCCTCCCTCCAGGAAGCTCGGGTCTCCGAGTCCGCCCCGCACTCGCCCGGCTCTGCGGGTCTGCCGCCGCGCGCGGCCCACCCCCAGCACCCGGGCGGCAGGGGCAGGAGCTGGCTTCTGACCGCTGGGGAAATCGAGGCACGGGCCGCCAGCAGGGTGCGCGGCAGCCCTGAAACCAGCGGCCCCCGCCTCCAGGCCCTCAGCCGCCAGCCGAGCCGCGGGAGGAGCCCGACCCGCGGGCCCCCTCGGCCCCCGCCGCGCCGCCCCCGCCGCCCGGGCCCGCTGCCGCCGCCGCCGCCGCCGCACTCACCACACTGCGGGCCCGGCGGGCCGAGGCCGGGGCGGGGCGGGGCCGCGCGCGCTCCGAGGCCGCGCGGGGCTGGGACCGGCAAGAGGGGTCCGGGCCCGGGGCTCTGGGGACTCTCCGCCTGCGCGGGCCGGGCCGAGCGCGCTAGGAAGGCCGGGCCGGACCAGGCTCGGGATCCGCCGCCGCCGCCGCCGCTCCACAGACGTCACATGATGTTTGGTCACGTGGGCTCCATTCATGAAGCGGCGACGCGGCCGGCGGGCGCTTAAAGGGGAAGGCGCGGCGGCGGCCGTCGGGCGAGCCGCGCATGCGCAACGCGCTCGCCGTCGCCCCTGGCAACACCGGCTGGCGCGCGCTGGGCGGGGCTCACGGGCCGGTCCCCACCCCTAGCCCCCGGGATCCGGAGCGGATCCGGAGCCCGCGCCCGCCTCACCTGGCTCCTGCGCAAGCCGTCCGGGGCCCCTGCCCAAGCTCGCGGGCGCCGGCGGCGTCTCTCAGCTCGAGTGCGCGAGCGAGGGCGGACTCCGCGTGCGTCCCCTCGAGTGGTGGCTGCGCCTGCCCCAGTCCTGCCCGGCAGAGGCGCTTTTGCGTCGGGACGGCGCCGCCGGGGCCCCGCGATTCCAACTCCAGGGTCTGGGAGCGGCGCGGGGCGGGGACGGCCTGGCGGCTTACAGCAGCTGGCACTGACTCCAGCCCGCAGCCGACCCCAGGCTTCCCGGGTCCCTCCTGCGCCACGTGTGCCCAGAGCTCCGCGCTGGGTTCGGCCGCTCCGCCCGGGGAGACCTCCCGGCTGTGGGAGGTGCCCGGCGGGAGGGGCGAGGACTCGGGGAGAAGGGAAGCTGAGGGGGACCCCGCTTCTGGACTTTTCCTGCACCCTTTTCCCTTCGCAGCTGTGAAGCCGGGAAGGGGAAGGGTGGCCACCCCGCCAGCAGATGAGCGGGAGGAGGGAGGGGCGGAGACGGGCTGTGGGATCCTCCTGGGCTCCATCCGTCAATCCGTGAATGATGCAGGTGGATAAAGGCCTGGCCTGGAGTCCCGAAGCCGCGCGGTGTAAGGCTCGGAAGCGTCCCCAGGCCCGTCCCTGCCACAGCACGTGGTCGCCGTGTGCGCTGTGGGGCTGCATCTGGTTCTTACGGTTGTGTTCCTAGCCGTTAGGGACCTGTACCCCCTGCTTTGGGCACAGCCCTAGTGTCACAGGCTATATGGGCATTATATGCTCCTGGTGTGGCTTCGGAGACCTCAACCTTAGTGTACAAACCAGCACACAGGTCCCTGAAGCCGGGAGTGCAGCCCTGTCCCGGGTCCCGTCCTCTTCCTCACACCCCACTGGGTTGGCTCAGGGAGGGCGCCTTGAGCCTCTAGCCAACCTGCTCTGCCAGAGCGTGAGGTCGTGCCTTGCTTGGCTGTGAGGGCTGGGTCCATGCAGCAGGGACCTGCCCCCCACCCAGTCTCCTTCAGGACCCGCCCTCGGTGCCACACAGCGGGAGCTGGAGCCTCAGCGGCGCCCTGAGGAGCCAGGGATGATTGGCCCTGGGGCTGGCAGCCCACACTCTGGGGCTGACACTCACCAGGCTGTTCCCACTCACGTCTGGCACCCCGACTCCTCCTCACAGGGTCGAACCCGCTCTCATTTACACATCATCATGGACTGGGAATGCATTTATGAATCATCCTCACTGGTGCTGTCTCCTCCTGGGAAGGAGCCTCACTCCTCCCCTCGATGGTCAGTGTCAGAGAGATGGGCGGGATGGGTGGGGGGGAAAACACTCCGGGAGCTGCCCAGGCTCCTTTGCTGCCCATCACCCCAGAAACTTCTTGGGGTGGGTGGGGTCCCAGGCCACCTGCAGAGTAGCAGATGGTGGTTTGTAGAGGAGGTGTTGAGGTAGGGGAGGTGCCAGGGGAGGTGCCAGGGGATACAGCCCAAGCCAGCCCCCAGGAGCTGTCTCCCCGTACTTCCAGAGAGCCCAATGCGTTCTGTGGTCAGTGAGGGCCGGCAATGGCTCTGCACAAAGATCTCCTCATCTGCCCAGCAGCTCCTGGCCAGCTCCCCACGGAGAGCCTGGATACTTGTCCCTGGAAATAGTGGGGCAGCTGTGTTTGGGCCAAAGTCCATGAGGCCACTGGAACAGCAAAAGGCTACTCTACAGAGAGGGGATACTGCAAGACAGGCCTGCGGGTTTCTGAGCATCCCTCTCACACCACACAGCCGTCTCCACGACCAGCTGTAAGTGCCGCCTTGCAGGCCTGGCTCCCTGTCTGGACTTCTCTGCACCTCCGCGAGCTCATTTCCTGTTGCGGCTGGAAGCCCTCCTCCCACATGTACCTCCCCGGCACCCTCTGGCCAGGCCGTGCCTTCTGTGGACTGACCCCATTGGTTCCTCCTGAGAGCAGCAGGTGCTGGTGTCCACACCCAGAGAGATGGATGGGATGGGTGGGAGTCCAGTCCAGCCCTGGTCTCCAGGCAGGTCCCTCCCAGGGTGGACATTTCCCATCTCTGCCTGGTCAGGGGCTGTTGACCCATTCATTCTGGCGCCTGAGCCTGTCCTGCACAAGCACCAGGGACAGGAGTCAGCTGGGCACTGGAGAGGCATTGGGCAGAGCAAGGGCCCCAGCGGGCAAGCCAGAGTCAGGGCAATTCCAACCAAGAAACCAGCAGGCCAGGTGCGGTGTCTCACACTTGTAATCCCAGCACTTTGGGAGGCAGTGGGAGGATCGATTGACCTCAGGGCTGGGTAAGGTGGTGCATGCCTGTAGTCCCACCTACTCAGGAGGCTGAGGTGGGAGAGTCGCTTGAGCCCAGGGGTTGTATGCAGGCTGCAGTGAGCTGTGGTCATACCCCTGCAGTCCAGCCTGGGCAACAAAGACCCTATCTCCTAAAAAAAAAAAGTAAAAGTAAAATAAAATAAAAAATCAACTGGGGCAGAAGCTGAACCAAGCAGAGGTCGCAGCTCCTCCATCAGGGCTTACTCCAAACTGCTTCATTTTTGGAGGAGGCTTTCCAGAACTGAGAGGTGTCAGAACTGCTGGTAACAGGGGCAGGGAAGGCATCAACCATTCAGCCCGCAGCCCCATGGAGGGCTCCTCAGCCTGGCAGCATTTCCACGCTTCCCAGCAGGATTCATGGGTCCTTGCCCCCCAGAGCGATCTTCCTCGACCTGCTGCAGACCCACATGAAATGTGTTCCTATCCAGCTTGGGTCTGTCCTCACACTCTCAGTGGCTTCCTGGGTGTCCACCTCCCCACAGCCTGCCTCACGTAGCTTCCCAGACTTCTCACTTGTGTCAGGAGCCTGCGGAGTCTGTCTGGCTCTACCTGAGTCCCTGCCTCTGGCCTCTGCTTAATCAGGAACCACAGCAGGAAGGCTCCTGGGGCCCACCTGCTGAAGCAAATGCCTCTGTACACCTACCCACCTCCTTGTGCTTCATCTGAGGCCCAAGACCTGTCTGCCTCTCTTGAAACCCATGTCGCCTGCTGCCTTCCCTCGTGTCCCCGGACCAGAAGCACCTTTGACAGCTCTGCGACCCTCATCTTGCTCTGCGTCAGCATCCTGAGAGTGGGTGCTGGCAGGGAAACTGCCTTTGATGCAATGGAAGCAGTCAGGGGCAGCCTTGTGGGCAGGGCATGTGGCCTGTGGGACGATCTCTTCTGGGGGTACCTCTGCCCGGGTGGGGGGTGCCAGGGTCTTTGCTGGGGCAAGGGTGATTCTGTTGCTCACAGCCCTGTTACAGGTACATTTCCCACCCGCCCTGATCCCACATCCACCCACATGGCAGGGGGGCCTTCAGGGAGCCTGCAGGGACTCCCAGCCCAGCACCGGCCATTTGTGTCCCCCACCTAGCTCCTGCACTGCCAGATCCCGGCCAGACAGCAGGTGCTCACCCCATCTACCCTCTCCTTTGTGCCTGAGTGTGGTGGGTGCTCAGTATGGTGGGGAACGGCTGGGACTTGCCACTGTGGCAGTTGTGGTGGAGGGTGCAGCCATGCCATCTGCCCTGCTGCAATGTCTTCTCCCTGTTCCCTGCCTGTCTTCCCTCCCTCAGAGGGAAAGGGCTGGATTCTATCCCCCAAGTGCCCCTCCACACACCTCATACATGCCAAGCAGGGTTCTGCAGTGGGTCTGTGGGGTCTCTGGAAATGAGCTCCTGGGATGAAGTTCCCAGAAAGCTGCTCAGCTCTCCTGACACCTACACACCCTGACCCCTCCCAGCAGGCCCTGCCCCCACACATACCCTGAACCCCTCTGCACACCCTGACCCCCCTGCATACCCTGGACCCCCACGTACACCTTGACACCCTGTGGCCACCTGGCGCAGCTCCCTTCACACAGTGTGCACTGCCTCTGGAGGGAAGGGGGGCCTTATTCTGCTGTCTCTATGCTCAGTGTGTTGGTTGAAGGAACCCAACCCTCAGCAGCTCCTCCAATCTGGTGGGCCTCCTGGGATGGCTGACTGTACGTGTTCACCTGACTGGGCCACAGGGTGCCTGGGAGTTTGGTCAAACATTATTCTGTTTCTGGTAG